AAAATAATACATAATGCAGACAGAGAGTTGTATAAAAAGTTCCCTCTTCTCAAAATTCATCCAAATCTCTGGTTTTACACAAACTCCCTGCAGTTCCATTGTACAGTTTTAAATATAATGTGAAAATATCCATAAAATCTGTCACTGAGTCATAGAAAAGAAAGGAAAAATGTTGGGGACGAATGGATTAGAACACCAGAGTAATCTTTTTTCGCTGTCTGTTTTACCTTAACTGTAGATTTGTGTTATTATCTGCAACCATCGTCTGTGGAGTACATTTAAGTGACTGACGTCTCAGAGGAGGACAGGAAACCTTGAACGTGATGCCTTAAATTCAGATCCACACCTCCACGTTTCTGAATGTCCCTCGTTCCCTCAGAGAGACTCCGACAGACTTTAAAGAAAATGACTTGATGTGAATTTTATTTTGTGTTTCAGGTCTGGTGAAGCTGGGGATCCACTGTGTCACATGTCAGAAAGTTGCCATAAAGATTGTCAACAGGGAAAAGCTCAGCGAGTCGGTTCTCATGAAGGTAAGACGGTTGAGTGCGATCAGTGTTTGTTTAACCTGTGAAACTCGATGCTGTAGGTGTCTAAAAAGCACCACGACTGAAGATTCAGCCCATTTCAGAGTTTTTGTTTTATTATTATTGTATTATTTCCGTGGGGTATACAATAAGAGTTGTGAAATAGTTGCCTAAAAATAACTACTTTGATGCCCTGAAACGCCCCTAGCAAGTTTCTTTCTCGGATCTCAGTATCTTGTAAAGCATTGCTGCTGAGGTACTCCTCTGTATACTGTGTGTCAGCTAGCTTAACGGTAAGAAAACAGCACAGCAAATGTTAACACCAAATAATGAGGGTTAGGATTGTGCTGAACTCAGGTACTGACACTTTTTTGGTCCAGTTCAGGAGCTGGTTATTGTCAACAAATCCCTTGAAAAGACCATAAATATTTAAGCATCTTTAAGTGTCTTGCTTTCTGTGTAACAGCCAGCAGGGGGCAGCTCCATTGGTTGCAATAACACACTGATACCATTCAGTCTTATGGAGAA